TGCTCCAAGAACAAGCTTCTGCCATGGTGAGGCCATTGTCCTGGCCAAGCTCTCCACTGTCCACATGTGGCATGGCTATAGGGGAACAAAATCAGCAAGCCCCACACCATTCCCTACAAGGTGATTAGGCCCTGTGGCTCTGTGCTGTTGTCTCATCCCTGCATCTTGAGGCACTGGCATCGTCTCCATTCCAATGCCCAAGAAGCTGCTGCTGTTGCTAGATGGAACTGACGCCTGCTAGACCTCAAGCAAGGGCTGCATGGATGTCCTCAGCAACTTCACCAAGACCACTTTTGCACTTGATCTTGGCCAAAAGGCCGAGAAGCGATCAAGACCACTTTTGAGGCTATCGTCAACGCGTACCACTACTTGACCTTGGACCTCTGGAAATAGACCATGTATGTCATGTCTCCCCACCAGGAATTCACTGACCATCTTATAAAGACTCACACTAGAGTATCTGTGCAGAGGACACAGGCCCCAGCTATAGTGACTTCATGGTTTTTGTAGAACAGAAATATTGACAGACAGACACAGACACAGCCCCCCACACAGCAATTTATTAAACATAAAGGTCAGAATATTTATACCTGAGTTAACACTGATAGTTTTTCAACCTCAAGCAAGACATAACTAGAGAGCCACTTAGCATATTAACATGTGACCATCATAAAAATTACTGGCGAGCTCTGGTGGCCTAGTGGCAAGAAGGTGTACTGCTATCCCAGAGGTACACAGTTCAAATCCACCTGATGCTCTACTGGAGAAGGAGGAACAATTTCCTCCTGTACCAGTCAGATCTGATTTGATGGTATACACACACACACACACACACACACACACACACACACAGAAAGAAAAAAATTATTAATGAAATCTTTTACATACTACAGTTTTGAAAACTAAAGTATACTTTACACTTAAGAGCACCTTCATTTCAGACAAGGCAAATGAGTACAGCAAAAAGGCAGATAGGATTATTTTCCAGAGAAATACACTGTAGTCCCTCTTTCCTAACAGCCAAGACTCCACATGTAGAATGTGCCGCTTCATGAGGGAGGGATTTCTCAGTTCTGAAGGGGTTTATACAGCAGACTGAAAATCTATGATTTTATGACAAAGGACTACTCAGTATGGTATGAAGATGTGCAGATTCCTCTTAAGAGAACAGGAAATTTGGAACTTATAGTGTAGAACCTCCAGGGAAAGGGAAAAAGCAAACTACACAAAAAACACCTACCAAGAGAAGTGGTAAAGTATAGGGTAAGGGTTTACATAAAACCACAGCCAACAATCATGTCCCATCTTACCTCTTCAATGTGTTTATGGTTCTGCAGTGAGCAAGGCAGGCATGTGTAGACACATGATCTGGACACCATGCATTCTACCCATCTCAAGGTAAGGAAGATTGTCCCTATTAAATATGTCTGGAAGAACTCACTATTGCATCAAAAGAAAGTTCTTCCCTCTTGTCAGAGGCCTAACATCTAGGCCTGCCAGCTTTCACATAGCCCTCTTTCTCTATATCTTCAGAGGAGATTGTAAATGGCCCCTACATACACAGTTGATGTAAAAAAATTGACTCCATTTAGGAGTTTCTTAAATCAAAAGAAATTAATACAATAGAGATATGTAAAAAAATTGACTCCATTTAGGAGTTTCTTAAATCAAAAGAAATTAATACAATAGAGATTAGTAAAACAATCCTTCCTTCGCTTAAAACAAGTTTCTCAGTCTCACCGTTTTGGTGTACAGCTTCATATCCACTCGTTGGTGAGACTGAGTAGCACAGCTCTCATTTTTTGGTTGAAGTACACAGAGTGGTTTTAGGGACATGACTCAGCATCTGTGACATCTCTGCATATCTGCCTGAGAGGTGTGGTTGTGAATGCACCCTGCATTTGCACACACCATACACATAGCCAGCACTGAGCAGGTATCCTCTCTGTCAAACTGGAGACTAGCTGGTGGCACAGCTAACCCCAATCCAGAGCTGTCCAACTCAACTGCAGGCAAGGGCCACTGTTCAACCACTTGTGGAGCCTGTTACCCAAAGTCCTCATCCAGCCCTGTTCTTAGTCTCTGCCTCCCAGACTCCCAAGTCTAAACTACAACCAAATTCACTAATGTACACATTACTCACAAGAGTAGATGTTTTCTTGAAGTTATACTTCATGTTGTCATTTGACTATCATTAATAAGACTATCTTTAATGGAGATACAAAATTATAGTATCCCAATTTTACTTCTAAATGCCAGAATCATTAACTCAAATAATAGACTGACTTATGTACTATGTACATTATTAATTCAGGTCAGAATAACACTTAAATCAATGTTCAAAGAAAACGAGACTTAAAATTAGTAAAGCATTTAATGTGATTACTGACGTTTTCCCTTAGAATATTTTTTATGGTATTAACTTGGTCTGATATTACCATAAATCTAAATAAGCAAGAAGGCTCATTTTCTGGTCTTACATAAGAACCAACTTACCAACTTTCCTATGAAACATCTTTTCTATATATTACATTAATTATTAATGTTCTTCATTAACAACAGAAAATCAAATAACCTAGGTACATGCTTAATGTGCCACATTTCCAAAATATTACAATAATGAATAGATTAAACAAATAATTATTTCCATGGGCAAAAGGCAGGCACAGTCTAACTTACCTGGAAAGTAAATGGCAATTGTAACCTTTGCCCACTCCCTGCCTCAGTTTCTTCACTTTTAAAATAAGAAGACTAATTACCTGACATCTAAAATTTCTCTTGTTGTTGTTGTTGTTATGTGCCGTCGAGTCGTTTCCGACTCATAGCAACCCTATGCACAACAGCCCTAAACCCTGCTCTATCCTGAGCCAACTGCACCGCCTCTGACAC